CTCAATCCTGCTTGAGAGAATATGCATCGAACCTTCTCTGTTAATGTCTGGTTCATTCTCTCAGCAACTCCATTTTGTTGTGGCTTACCAAGAACAGTGAAGTGTCGAACGATCCCTTCATCTCGGCATACTTTAAGGAATGGATCATAAGTATATTCTCCCCCGTTGTCTGATCTCAGCCTTTTGATTTTCCTGTCCGTCTGATTCTCTACCATTTTCTTCCACTCTAGGAAGATTTGGAGAACCTCGTTTTTGTGCCTCATGGGATACATCCAAACTCTCTTCGAGTAGTCATCAATAAAGGTGACGAACCACCTCTTTCCTCCCAATGAGACATTCTTTGTGACACCCCATACATCAGTGTGAACATAATCCAAAATGCCCTTTGTTTGGTGTATAGCTGTACCAAACTTCACATTTTTTTGTTTACCAAATATACAATGTTCACAGAAATCAATTATTCCAGTTGTGGCACCCTTAAGGACTCCTTGGTTCACTAGTGTCTGAAGCGCCTTCTCACCAGCATGCCCGAGTCGCATGTGCCATAATTTCGATATGTCTTGTTCTTTTGAACTTGCCACAGCAGCATGCCCAATTATTGTGGTTCCGTTGAGGTAGTATATGCTACCTCTTCTAGTTCCTGTAATTGCCACCAAAGCTCCACGAGCTACTTTCAAATTCCCTCCTTCCAAAATGATGCGATAACCACTCGCATCCAAAATGCCAAGTGAGATCAAATTTTTCTTCAAGTCAGGGACATACCTCACCTCTTTGAGTTTTCTATAACCCCATCAAACATCTTGATTTGTACTGAGCCGATTCCCATTATCTTGCAAGTACTATCATTGCCCATATAGACAACTCCACCATTGAACTTTTTGAAGTCCAAAAACATCTCTTTGTTGGGACACATATGATAGGAGCACCCAGAATCAAGAATCCATTCACTGGTTTGGTTGACTGATAGGGAGATTGTCAAGGCATCATCTGTATCAGTGTCGTCATCTCTAACGACATTGGACTTCGACCCCTTCTCTTTTAAGATCGAACAATCCTTTTTCCAATGGCCTTTTTGTCGACAATATGCACACTCATTTTTATCAAGTTTTCTCCAATTGTCAGATCTACCTCTCGACTTTAATCGAGACTCTCCACATTCGTTCTTTTTCCAATTAGAACTTCTTCCATGAGCAGTGAGAACATTTGAGCTAGAGCTTTGATACGTCTTCTTTTCCTTTTTTCGCATCTCATTGTTTATTAAGGCATTTGAAACATCTTCAAAATCAATATTAGTGATTCCATGTAGTAGGGTCGTTACTAAAAACTCGTATGATTCCGGCAAAGAGTTTAATAACAACAACGCCTTGTCCTCGTCATCAATCTTAACATCAAGATTGAGCAAATCAGTGATGATTTTGTTAAAATCATTCAAATGCTCAGCCATTGAGATGCCTTCCTTGTAGTCAAAACGGAAGAGTTTCTTCTTCAAATAGAGTTTATTTTCCACACTCTTCTTCATATATTTCACTTCAAGCTTGTCCCATAATTCTTTCGCCATGGTAACCTTCATAAATGGATATTTCTGATCCTTGCCAAGACAGGATCGAATAATTCCACAGGATTGTCGATTTAATTTCGTCCATTCTGCTTCTGTCATGTCTTCAGGCATTTCCTCTTGGAGAGAAACATCGAGGTCTTGCATGACCAGCAAATCGCTAACTTCGCCTCGCCAAACACCAAAATTATTGGTTCCATCAAATTTCTCTACTTCGAGATTGAAACTCCACACTCTCGATCCACGTCGTGATGGTTCTGCCATTTGCAATAATTAATCTGGATGAAACTCAAAAACACAATTCTTGAAAATTGAATTTCAAGAGAATAAACACTATTGTGAGCACGTCTAATGGTCGATGAGGCCCAAGCTTTCACAATACCCCAAAATACCACAATAAGGCTTTGATACCACTTGTTGAGAGCCGAAAGCGGAACAAATGTACTCACAACACCAAAATCACTCAAGACATACAATATTGCACTCAAAAACTTAATTTTTCAACAGCAGAAAGAATAGCATTATATAGCTTCTGCTAAACCTAAAGATAAACTAACAAGCCTAAAAATATTAGCAAGACCTTGAGAATAGGTCTTGGTCCTAGAGAATAGGGCTTATGACAGTGTTTAACACTTATTATATCTCAATATCTCCGGACATCAAATCACAAACCAACCGTGACAGCTCGTCAAAATTATGATGAAGATCCTTTGATATCCTTACGTTTTATCAACAAAATTCTACATTTAGGCTCTTTAAATTGTTGGACAAGAGTTGATTCAATAATGGAAAACAAAATCGTATTGATTTTTGTTCGTTTAACTTTGGACATTCGTATAACAAAATCGTATTGCTACAATGGGTACAATTGTGGTTGAGTCTAGTGACTACTAGAGTCGAGTTGAGTCAAAACGTAGCCACAACAATAGCGGAAACTGATGAGAATTTCGTTTGTTTAACTTTGGACATTTGGCCCCACGACGAGTGTCGTTGGTCCAAACTTTGTGTTTGGGATGGTCATGCTTCTATGCTCAATTTGGTGAGAATCTTCGAAATCAAAACAAGAAGAAAATGCAACTCGTTGTATTTTATTAATCAACTCTTTCTTCTATTTTGTTCCAGGACTTAACTCTTCCTATCATGAACAAAGCCGTTCAAGGTTTGAGTATTACCAATGCATAAATGTTTCTTCTTTACGACATTCCGCTAAAAATCTAACCTAATTTGCCTTCTACCATTAGCTTTCAAGTCGGTAAGGATTAGAGTTGGAGGCACTTTACAAGACAAATTGATTTACAACGTTGGGGCTGGCTTCCAGGGAACCTGTCACCCATTTCAAGCAACCAAAGGTTCGTTGTTTGACTTCTCGGCGGGATGTTTGTACATGGAAAGGTGGGACGATTTGAACAACTTTTTCAACAATACCGGGTATGTTATTTTTCTTTTGTGTTTTTTTTCTTACTTTCTATTTTCCGCTCCTGTACTAAATATATATATTTTAATATAACAGGGCGATTGTGACTTTTGGCTTAAACGCTCTCTTGGGTAAGTACAAGACGCAAGGAATTCAATGGGAAGGAAATTGGAACTATAGCAATGCCGAGGCTCTTATTCAATACACGGTAGAGAATAATTATCAAATAAATTCATGGGAGTTTGGTAAGTTAAATCATTCCATCACTCTTGGTTGACGTAACAACTTTAGTTCATGCTCACTGAGGCGTATGCCACTACACAGGCAATGAACTGGCTGGAATTAATAGCATTGGTGCAAGTGTTACTGCTGCACAATATGCAAAAGACGTCATCAAGCTTCGAGAAATCATAGATCGTTTGTACAATAACTCCCAACAAAAACCTATGATTGTAGCACCTGGTGCATTCTTTGATGAGAAATGGTATGCGGAATTTCTTAGAAAAACTGGACCAGGAGTTGTCGACGTTCTCACTCATCATATATACAACATGGGTGCAGGTTTGGCTGCAATACTTACTACCATCCTTCATTATGTGTTTTATATATAAATTCTTACTACGAGTATTTAGAGTGTGTTTTTGGTTTGTAGGTGATGACCCCAAATTGGTTTATAGGTTCGTTAATTCAACGTATCTTTCTCAAGTATCGAACACATTTGAACATCTCGAGAGCGTGATTCAAAAGAATGCCCCTTGGGGTGCCGCTTGGGTTGGAGAAGCTGGTGGAGCTTATCAGGGTGGCAGTCCTCATATTTCTTATACATTTATCAATAGTTTTTGGTAATCAAATCTATTTAGACTTTTTTTCCCTCTATATTTGATTTGTCTCCACTTAAACATGAAGAAAAGAACAATGCTCGAGTACTTACAGAATGAATTGAATGCATTAGGTACTTGGATCAGCTCGGGATGGCTTCAATGTACAATACAAAAGTATATTGTCGACAGACTTTGATCGGTGGATTCTATGGTGTCATCAAATCCTCAACTTTACTTCCTACGCCAGATTACTATGGGTAAGATCGGTGGATTCTATGGTGTCATCAAATCCTCAACTTTACTTCCTACGCCAGATTACTATGGGTAACCCTTTCTAATTTATAAAAATTATATCACTTCTTCTCCCGTTTTCAAATCATCTAATCTTTAAACAAAGTTCGATATTTTCTTTTTTTTTTATTAGTGCACTTCTCTTTCATCGACTCATGGGACCCCGTGTTCTCAAAATTGACAATAATGTCTCTTCTGACCTTCGTAGCTATGCCCATTGCTCGAGAGGAAGAGTAAGAAGTTGCTTTTAGATTTATATAAATTAAAACTTTATTTGATACCATTTATTGATCCTAATTTATCATTTTATGTAGTCTGGTGTAACCTTGCTTTTCATCAATTTGAGCAATGCAACCGACTTTATAATTGACCTTGAAAACAACATCAACTTGAGTTCAGGTAAGAGAAACGCTTCAAAAGGTCAAAGAGTGAAAATAGATTCATCAAGAGAGGAATACCATTTGACTCCGAAAGATGGTCTAGTTAGAAGTTCCACGGTGCTTTTAAATGGAAATCCATTGGAGACTACCAAAGAGGGAGACATACCAAATCTTATACCTGTCTACCGTCAGAGCAACTCTTCTATACATATTGCTGGTTGGTCCATTGCTTTCATTGTCGTCCCTCACTTTGTAGCTCCAGCATGCAACTAATTTTGTTGCCGCTCATTTCTTTTAAGCCCACTCTTTTTGTGCTTTCAAATCCTCGAAGCAACTAATAATATTTTAGATGCAAAGTCCTGTAGTCTCAAAAATAATTTTTTAAAAGAAAAGACACAGTATTGAATGCATCTTGTATTTATGCACTTCTCAATTTGATGACTGAAAAGTACTCAGGGACGCCTCAAAAATTGCACTCCCTTGATTATGGGCTTGTGCAGGCAAACGACGAATAAGTTGCAGGAACATGTCAAGTAGTCGGTCGGAGAACGCGTCTGAATCAACCAAGGACATGTATCGTGTTAGGTTGTGGAGTCTACTACGGATTATTTATAGGTTACTCCAGTGCTTATACATAGTAAGGCTATATAAATGACATATGCAATAAATGGTCAAGTATAGTAAAGGGTCATAAATAGTAAACAATATTTATAGTAAATGTATGGTAAAACTATATATATATATATAGACGATAGTTAATATATAGTAGATGACTATATTGGATAAAGTTATATAAATTAAACTAAACCATATACATACTCTTTAGGCAGTGATTTAAAGATATATTTATGCGTTATATGTCTTCACTTGTACTCTACATACTGGAAGTCATCACTATAAACCTCTATTCAATATTCTTCCCTATCTTGTTCGTTGTATTCATCTAGATCGAGTGTATGTTGTTGTGCAATCCTAACATATCGTCCTACTTCTTGATAAACGTGTCAGACAATCTGTGGAAACGAGTCACCCAGACCCAACCCGATTCAAGCCCCATTCTGTCGACCCGCGGTCAAACCCAACAACCCGTGACTGACTCGAGTTGCCCCTAATCGTTTCTTAAGCTCCACGTGTTGCTTCCACATAATTTGAGGGTATGTTGCATTTGCTGGGTTTCGAAGTGGGGTTCTGCCCGCACACTGACTGTGCATGGAGCCTTGCCCGTTTCGTTGGCGCATGCGGCCCATGGAGTCCCTATTTTTTGTCAGTTTGTCAGTTTTTTTTATCTCGATTTCGATACTAACCCTAAATTTAATGTGAATTAGGTTCCCTTAGAGAAATTTTGATATTTTTGGACATCTCCCTGGCAAGAAATTGTACTTGGGATGACACGCGATAGACTTGTAAGTAACCACATGGACTTCTAAGTAGTGCTTGAAGGGATCACTTTGATTTGCTTGCATGCTAGTAAAACAAACCCTACGGTTAGCTCGGTATGACCTGTACATTGGAATATTGGCGAACTGTGTGACTTTATGCTCTTCTATTTGGATATTGGTGAACTGAACCTCACATTTTGCATTATTCGTTTTTATACTGCTTGCACATTGTCATACTAGATTGGAGGATGAGATATTTTGTATTTGCACTTCAGGTGCTTTGTTGATGTTATTGCCCCGTTTAGCATGTGTGTAATTACTTGCATGATTGATTGTACATCATCTCCAAGTGATTGAATGTTTAATTCTCCTTGTAGAGGACTAGTGGTAGAAACGACCTAAGACTAGAGTTTGTTTCTAGTTCGACTAGTCTACGACCTAGGACGGAATGCCTTCAATGGATGAACGCTATGGAATTGTGAGAGATGATCAGTGGGTGAGACCACGTGCTCCCAATCGTTCCAGCTCAGAATGTTGAAATCGCGTAATCCTAATGACGTTGAACTACGTCAACACTGTCAAACTACCCTAGAGACCTAGACGTTCAATACAACTGGTACATATAGAGGGTAGCGCCCCCGACCTTGCAATAGACCAAGAATGCTGAGAAACAAGGACAAGCTTCAGGGATTTCTGTAACGTTGACATAAAATTATCGAATACGAAATCTTTCTGTAACAGCTCAAGTCCACCGCTAACAGATATTGTCTGCTTTGGCCTCTTACGTATTGTTGTCAGCCTCACGATTTTAAAACGTATCTGTTAGGAAGAGGTTTCTACACTCTTATAAGAAATGTTTCGTTCCCCCTCTTCAACCGATGTGGGATCTCACACTTTCGCTCTTTGTATCGAATCTCCTCATCTTAGCTTAGTGAAAGAGTGCTAAACCCATAGCAAAAAACAATGCATTTTAAACGTATACAAACCCGAGCTCAGACCACCTGTTCTACATCAACATATATGCTTATATCATTTAACATAAGCATTCAGCGTTGAATTCCCACTTTACAGATTGTAATGCTATATTCTCCCACAAAAACGGACCCTTCTACGTCAATTAAATGCAAAGTAAGCGGATAATTAATCAATCAAATATCGACTTCTCAATAGTTGGATGAATGACTACTTACACTTAATTCATCAACATCAACGACGGGTATTTCTCCGATATTTCGCAGTAGAACGGAGCAATCATCTTGCAAGGACCACACCATGTCGCACTGAAGTTCGCAATCACCTGTTGATGCATAATCTCGATTATGAAAGTAATTCAGCAAAAAAAAAATTGTAACATCCCAAGCCTACCGCTAACAGATATTGTCCTCTTCGAGCTTTTCTCTTCAAGGTTTTTAAAACGCGTCTGTTAGATAGCGGTTTCCACACCTTTATAAGGAATTCTTCGTTCCCTCTCCAGCCAACGTGGGATCTCACAATCCACCCCCTTGGGGGTCCAGCATCCTCACCGGCACACCACCTGAAACCTTGCTCTAATACCATTTATAACAGCTCAAGTCCACTGCTAGCACATAGTCCTCTTTGGGCTTTCCCTTCAAGGGCTCCCCTCAATATTTTTAAAACATGTATGTTAGGTAGAGGTTTCCACACCCTTATAAGGAATGCTTCATTCCCCTCTCCAACCAATGTGGGATCTCACAATCCACCCCCTTGGGGGCCAGCGTCCTCACCGGTTCACCACCCGAAACTTGACCCTGATTCTGTTTATAACAGCCCAAGTCCACCGCTAGCACATAGTCCTTATTGGGCTTTCCTTTCAAGGGCTTCCCCTCAAGGTTTCTATGACGTGTCTATTAAGTAGAGGTTTCCACACCCTTATAAGGAATGTTTCGTTCCTCTCTCCAACCGACACAAAAATAAAGAAAAAAAAAATCACTCAATAACCGAACAACTCAAATAAAAATCTTACGATCTTGCCATCCGAACGGGCTTCTTCGAGCTTTTGGTCCCAAGCTATTTTGGTTGTGATGAGATGCACATTTGCGGCACCAAACTCAACATGATGCTAAGACTCCTCATCTTTGATATCAGGCTGGGCACAGTGAACACAATAATTTCCCAGTTGGATCATAAAACATGCATCAAGCCAGAAAGACTTACTAAAGCAAAGTCCCATTTGACGGTCGACGTGCAAAATTTCCAAGTGTCCAATGAATCACAAGGTAGGCTGAAACAAGCAAAAATTCAGTATAACAATCTGATATCAAGGGAAGAACACATGACATATAATATAACTCCTATGCTACTGCACATGTTTCCAATCCACAGAAGGGTCATAAATTCATGGAAAGTGACATCAAAGTCAACTAAGAAATAGACCAGGGCAATGACTATATGACCTTGTCATCCAAACTCAAGCCCATCGCTAGCCGATATTATCTTTTTTGGGCTTTCCCTTCAAGGACTTCTCTCAAGATTTTAAGACGTGTCAGCTAGGGAGAGGTTTCCATACCCTCATAAGGAATGTTTTGTTCCCTTCTCCAACTGAAGTGGGATCTCGCAATTCCCCCCTTGGAGCCTAACGTCCTCACTGGCACACCGCTCGGCGTTTGACTCTGATACCATTTGTAACAGCCCAAACCCACTGCTAGCAAATATTGTCTTCTTTGGGCTTCCCCTTTCGGGCTTCTCCTCAAAGTTTTTAAAAAACGTCTACTATGGAGAGGGTTTAACCCTACTCCGACCAATGCCCCATACCATTCGGTGTATGTCTCTAATACCATTTGTAATAGTCCAAGCAATATGGTCCATTTTGGACTTTCCCTTCAAGGGCTTCTCCTCCAGGGTTTAAAACTAGTCCAAGCAATAGTACTAGGAATGTTTCGTTCCCCTCTCCAACTCACTCAGCAGCGTGGGATCTCACAATTCGTAAACCAATAAAAATGCGATTCCCTAAGGAAAGAAAAAGGGAGCTGCAGCAGAAAGGAATCGAATAAAATCATGGGTAGAACACTTATCAACTTTTCCCCAATTCTAAGTTCCACAACAGACAGACAGAAAACAAAAATGAAAAAAAACCCAGTAACCCATCTCATCAGATTCATAAACAAACAAGCGAACAACAATTCAAACAGAGCGGAGCAGAATCCCATTAAAGAACACAGAGAATTACCCTCAAGAACACCCGGGTTGGAGCCTCGAGTCAATTCAGCAGCCCGCGGAGGATGATCCGAGCAAGGAGCGAACAAAAAACCCACACGGGGTTCGTGGAAAACCCTTCTTCTGGTAATCGATTTAGAAGAAAGGCTAAGGAAATTCAGAAAAGGGTCAAATCGGAGGGGATAAAGGACTGAACCCCCTAAGCCGTGGGTTAAGGACGATGAGAAAAGGACCGATCTGTCTCTCACTCTCTTGGATTTTGACTCAGACGCATAATGGAGACTTGGAATTTTCATATGAAAATGGTTAGAAACTTCATACAAATTAACATATTCTTTTAAGCATACTTTTGTTTAGCTAATGGTTGAAGTTATTTGACATCAATTTTGTCTAAGTTTTGAAGTCTCAATTCTATAGAAAAGTAAATGGCTATATCCATAAAATATTAATGTCGATTAATATTTCTAAAAAATTTATACCACAAAAGTAATTAAAATTAATAAATGTGCATACTTCAATAGTGAAACCTCGAGAAATAAGTTGAAAGGAACTTGTTTGTCTTCCACTGTTTCTAAGAGCGAAAACTTTTAGCACGTGTTTCTTAAAATAAATTTCAAAGGATCACCCAACATAGAATTGCTCCAACCTAAATGTGCTTAACTTCGAAATTCATATGATTGAGTCAACGAAAAGGAAGTTTCACCTTGTTGGTATAGGTTGCAACTTCGATTCTTTTAAACCTTTCTCAACCATCATATTATCACGATCACTCTTGTTTGAATGTGATCTTAGTTCATTCACGTACTCATTTTTCATTCAGGCGTCTCACAGTGAAGTGGAACACTAATAATTGTCGAGGACTCGAGCTTAGGAGAGACTGAAAGAGGCGTGACTACGAACATTTTTTGTTTTAGGGTTCCGTTTATGGTTATATTTTTTTTTAACCTCAAGAAATTTGGTTAAGTTTCCATTTAACATAAAAATAAAATAATAATTATGATAATTGAAAACAGTTTCTTAAACAAAAAACGTCAAAAAAATTCTAAAAAAAAATTAATTCCACAATAAAAAAAAATACAATTAATTATTAAAGCTATAAAAGTCAACAAATTGAAGCCAACATGAGAGACCCTTGTGTTTTAATGCATTTTATAAATTAATTTAGAACTTTTTTTTTTTTTTAATTTCTTCAATAAATAACTTGAAACCCATTAATATTAGGAGAGGTAAACTTAATTGTTTACTGTTACATTTAACAAAAAAAAAACCAAGTTATAATGGCATGATCTCGAGTATATATAAACTCCTCTCCTCGAATTTGTATTCACCGCTCTTTCCTTTCCTTTCTAAACTTGATTTTGAAAGTTCGGATTTCTCTATTTAGGGTTTCGGGATCATTTTTTTGTTCTATCATTTCAACAGCGTCAAAGACACCAAGTTTGGCACACTGCCGAATAATATAAAGGTAACATCAGTACCATATTTTTGTATTCTCCCGACATCAAATCACAAACCAACCGTGACAGCCCGTCAAAATTTTGATGAATATCCTTTGATATCCTTTCGTTTTATCAACAAAATTCTACATTTAGACTCTTTCAATTGTTGGACAGGAGTTGATTCAATAATGGAAAACAAAATCGTATTGATTTTTGTTCTTGCCTTCATCCCGACCATTCTGGGTCGTAATGCTACAACGGGTACAATTGTGGTTGATGCAACCACAACAATAGCGGAAACTGATGAGAATTTCGTTTGTTTTACTTTGGACATTTGGCCCCATGACGAGTGTCGTTGGTCCAAACTTTGTGTTTGGGATGGTCATGCTTCTATGCTCAATTTGGTGAGAATCTTCGAAATCAAAACAAGAAGAAAATGCAACTCGTTGTATTTTATTAATCAACTCTTTCTTCTATTTTGTTCCAGGACTTAACTCTTCCTATCATGAACAAAGCCGTTCAAGGTTTGAGTATTACTAATGCATAAATGTTTCTTCTTTACGACATTCCGCTAAAAATCTAACCTAATTTGCCTTCTACCATTAGCTTTCAAGTCGGTAAGGATTAGAGTTGGAGGCACTTTACAAGACAAATTGATTTACAACGTTGGGGCTGGCTTCCAGGGAACCTGTCACCCATTTCAAGCAACCAAAGGTTCGTTGTTTGACTTCTCGGTGGGATGTTTGTACATGGAAAGGTGGGACGATTTGAACAACTTTTTCAACAATACCGGGTATGTTATTTTTCTTTTGTGTTTTTTTCTTACTTTCTATTTTCCGCTCCTGTACTAAATATATATATTTTAATATAACAGGGCGATTGTGACTTTTGGCTTAAACGCTCTCTTGGGTAAGTACAAGACGCAAGGAATTCAATGGGAAGGAAATTGGAACTATAGCAATGCCGAGGCTCTTATTCAATACACGGTAGAGAATAATTATCAAATAAATTCATGGGAGTTTGGTAAGTTAAATCATTCCATCACTCTTGGTTGA